ATGTCCAGGCTCGGAAGTTCTGGGGTTTGCCCCGTTGTCTTTCTTCCCCCCGGAATGAGATGTGATGTCTGGAGGTGGGCAGCAATCCGTGGCCCTAGTAGACCAGCAGGAGAAGACCACCGAGAGCTGAGCTGAGGGAGCAGGGACAGCAGGCTAGTGTCCTGACAGCATTGCTGAACAGCTGGGCCAGGCCTGCACTGTGCTACCCTCCCCACGTGGCTTCCTCTGTGAAACAACCCCAACTTTCAACCCCTCCAGGCCGCTTTCCGTCACTGGCAGCCACAGAGCCCTGCCAGCCCGACTCTATCCCAGCGTCCTGTCATTAGGTTCCTTCCTGCCCCTTGTCCTCCCACCAGCGACCCTCAGCCCGGCTCCGCCCCTCTCCTCTCTCCTCCTTTTCTTCCATCTCTCCAGGCCTCTTTGTCTATCAGTTCTTCCCTTGGGGCTGCGAGCCCTCCCTGGCTTAGTCCCTTCCTCCCCCCATCGGCTGTAGTCTCATTGTCCCGTATTCTGTATCCCTCCAATGTCTCAAACTAGATGATTCCTCTCTCCAGCCCCTGATGGTCACTGGGCGAGGTTGTGACACAGTTTGGGCCTCTGACATGTGAACAGAGGTCTGTGAGGAGAGACCTGGGGAGCCTTGGCTGCCCAGAATGCCTTGTGCCAGACGCCCAGCTGCCAGGGGCTGGACTCAGCGTGTTTCCTGCTGCACATAAAGGAATGGAGTTCACCCTTTGTGCAAGAATGCCCCCCCGCAGCTTCCCCTCTAGGGCAGAGGAATTAGGAATGAAGCAAAGGCTGGGGTAACTCCTGGCTACCCATCTAACTGCGAATTTGAATGTTCCTCCCAATATTTAGACTCATCCTTTCTCTTTGCTTATTGCGCGGTCTGTCATTCAAAAACGGTGCTGCTAGCAGTATGACAGGTTGTCATTCGAGGCTCTCGAATTCCAGCTTCCCCTGCTATAAGGTTTAGCTAATTGTTACTCACCCCAGAGGGAAATAGTCCAACCGTCGCCCATCCACACCACGCAGGTCCACTGCCAAAGAGAAAGGCGTCGACGCATCTGCAGGTGTTTATTTAACTATTTGGACTTCATGATACGTTTAAGAGAAAAATAATGGGCCGAAGAGTCTTAATATTTCATTTTATTGCTTGGGATTTAAAATCAATTAGAATAGTTATTTCTCTGAAAATTAAACGCTATTCTGATGGTATTGAGTGTAATCTTACTGATGTAGATTTGGAAGTTAAGACAGATTTTAAATGAGAAGTAAATCTACTCAGATTTTCTTTTTTTTAATTGTTTCTTATGAGCTCATTGTCTTTTGCTGGTTTCTTTGTTCAGTCTGGAGATGGCGGCAAATGGTGTGTTCACACTTCTTGAAAGAAAGTGCTTTGTTGCGCAGTTCAACAGACCGCTCCCGCCTTCTTTAGAGACTGATGTCCGTCCTTCAGTGTTCCTGATTCTCGGATGAGAAGGCAGAGTTGAATGAGCAGGGAGAGAGACAGTTGGAAAGATGCAACAGGTCCGGGGCAGTTACAAAGATGGAGGAGGAGGGGGGTGGGAAAGCAGAGGGAGCTTGTGAGAAGGGAAGGGAGGGATGGAGCTGGTGACCCAGGAGGGACGAGCTCACCCAGAGGAGACTCTGAGAGAGGGAAAGGCAGATCCAGGGAGAGGAGGGGAGGGAGGAGAGCAGGGGCAAGGCAGGCAGGAAGGAGTCCTCTACTGGAGAATGCCCTGCAGGTCCCGGGACAGCTCGTGACTGGTGTTATCCAGCCCATTCCAGGGCTGAAAGGGTCTCCCCTGGTGCTGCACGAAGGTTTCCCAGCAGTGCTTGAACTCTGAAGGGACAGGGGAGATGAAAGTGAGCTCCAGCTGGGAGGGGGAAGGGCCACAGGCTGCCTGACCCTTAGGGACAGTGTTCCCCATCAATTTCACCGCTCTCTTTTCTCTTTCCTCCCCAGGGACTTAGCCCTCCAACTCTTTCTTCCAAGTGGAATCTGAGTCAGCCACTTCTCCTCCCTTCTGGAAGCCCCCAAGTCCTCCCCGCAGTTCCACCCAACCTCCCTCCCCTCCCCAGGACCGCCTCGCCTCCCCTGAACTCTCCCTTCCAATGGACTCCACAGTCCTTTCCAGGGTCTGGCATCACCTCTGCAAGCCGCAAACAAAGGCTCCTCCACCAGGGATTTTCATCCTGCCCTCCCCTTTCTAGCAACTTCCAACAGGCCTGCCTCTGCCCCTGGCCCCATGCCCGGGAGAACGATGCTGACCCTGGGAGGTCATGATGGCAATTTGGGCCCCAGCCGCCTGCAGCGTGCGCAGTCCCTTCTCATAGCCTGAGAGGCTATAGATGCGGGAAGCAAAGATGCGCAGGCTCACGTGGGGGTTCTCCCTCAGGAACTCAGCCAGTTGCTCAGCACAGTCAGTGCAGGGGCTCCAGGAGATGAAAAAGGTGACCGTGTAGTGCAGCGCCCGGTCCAGCTCCCAAGAACGGATCAGGTCCAGGAAGTGCGTCTCTGCGTGGGAGATGATAGGCTAGAGGAGGAAGAAAAGTGTACTGTCATTGGGGGGGCGGGGGGGGGCGGGACCAGGGTGAGGACGGGGAGGCACTGGCCTCCAGCAGGAAATCAGAGGGATGGGGGCACACCTCAGCATCGAGATGAATGATGTTTCAACGCAGTATTTATGTGATCAAATCTAAGGCAAAACTCCACGATAAACACAATATCAGCATTTTACAAAAGATCAGATCAGTAGTGGTGACTTTATTTTACCTCAGCACAGCACTGTAACTGATCAGCCTTTGTTTAAATCGTTGATGTTTCCTTCGTCACGAAATTAGCATTAATTTTGATGTTTAAACTATTGCATTAAATAGGATTCATCTGGATTCCCGAGTTCCTGCTGCTGCAGTTGTGCGCCAGAGGAGGCGCCCTCAGGAGCCTCACCGGGCTGGCCCCGCGGGGGGAGATGAAGAGCTGGAGGAGGCGGGGGGAGGCCAGGTGGGCTCCAAGGTCACGGGCCTGATGCCATGCAAGTGGGTGCTTCCTCCTTTGAGGGATTCACCCCGCTCTCCATCTACCGCCCCCCAGCCCCCACCCCCGTGCACCAATACTTCTACAAGCTTCTACTCTGGGCCTCACCCTGTGCTGTGCCCAAGGCTGCTCAGACTCTGGCCAAAAGGGCTCCCTGTGCAGGGAGGAATGGGGGAAGGGGCGCCAAGGGGAGAGGTGCCGGGCTCAGGGGATGCAGGTCATTGTTGCGGATGACATGGGATGATGGAGATTTGCCCAAAGTGCAGAGTGACACATTTTCAACCAGAAACGGAGAAGAAGTCAGACCAACCCTGCTAGTGCAGGGACCTTGGGCGGGAGTGTGATGGGTACACGAGGGCCAAGGGGGCGTCCCTGGGCTCAGTGCAGCTGGCCATACAGTGGTGGGGACCAGCGCCCCTGCCAGGATCTCCTAAGCGATGGGCAGGGCTCCTGCCAGGCACCCCCGGTAGTGACCAGACGGAGCAGCGAGAGCCAACAGAACTTGTGCTCTCTGGCCAGAGGCTGCCCCAGGCAGGGGCCAGGGAAGAGCCTGACCCCTTGACCAGACGCCTTTCCATCGGTCCAGACCGATCCTCACAGGCACAGCAGTAGGGATTCCTGCAGCCTGGGGTGACCCTAGGCCAGTGGTGCCACTCTGGGACACTGTGACTGGTTTCTGCGGTGTGGCTCAAAGCTGCCAATCACGGCAGAAACGGTCCCTACCCCCCGACTCCAGGTGGAGCCGCAGCAGCTGTGGGAACAAAGGTGAAAGGGCTCTGTGGGACACCCCGTGAGCACCGAGAAGCTTCTCCCCTGAAGGTCCCTGGACTGGGAGCTGCCCCCTGCTGCCGTCAGGCTGGGTCAGTCACCGTGTTTTGCAGGAAGCCCTTGTCCTGGTCCAGCGGGACCCTGGAGTCACCATCTGGAAGCTCCACCTCATAGCACAGGCAGGTCTCACGCGGCCATTCTGTATTGTTGAAGTTCGCAGTGAAGATGTTGATGTCCATCAGCTATCTGGGGACAAAGGTGGGAGAACCCCAAAGACATGCGGCTCCTCTTGGGACCACCCAGTGCTCTTCCCTCCACTCCACACCCCTTCCCCCTCCACCCCTGCGCCCACAGCCCAGCCAGACCTATAGAGGACGGGCTTCCACTCACTTTGCTGGAGCCACCAGGCCTCCCTCTCTGATCCCTTATGGGGTCTGCTGGGACTGTCAGCCCCATCCTTTTGTCAGGGTCTCCCCCAGGAGCAGTGCTGGGTCTCAGAGCTTCTGATGAGGGTTTCTCCCTCTGCCCAGAGTAGCTGGGTCACCTCTCCTGGGCTCACCATCCCAGCCCTGTCCCACTCTCCTGTTTGAAGTGGACCCACTGGGCCTTTTCCCTCTTGTCTTCGGGGTTAACCCGAGCCACACGGTGCCCGGGCCCAAACACGTTCCAGAGCGGGACCAGGGGGGGAAAGAGAATGCCTTCTCCAATAGTCATGGGACTTTTTCTAATTGTGAAAATAATGTGTGTCCTTTACAAAACCAAAATCATAAGCTGAAAGTGACCTCCTAGTCCACAGCTCAGAGGCGATTCCAAAGCAGAAATGATAGACTTCGAGGGGATTGGAGGAAGAGGAGGAATGGGGACCAGCAAGGATGAATCCCCAGGAGCCTGGGGCACCTGGGCTGGAGAAGCAGACTGGGCATCAGCTGAGGGGTCATGGCGGGACCTAAGGTGGGGCCCTAAGGCGGGCCAGCAGGAGAGAGGCAGGGAAGAGGAGGAGTCCCCAGCGGAGCAGGGAGTCCCCATCAGGGAAGCAGGAGGAGGGGGCTCAGGAGCAGGAGAGCTGGGGGACGGGGGCTACCTGATCCTGGGCGCTGCGCTGGCCTCCCCCGCTGACAGTCCCCTCACTGTCCCTGGCTCTGCGTCCTCTGCTCCGCTGTCTGCTCACAGCCGGCGTCCTCCTCCTGGGTGCCCTGCAGGCCTAGGAGCCTTATATGCCATCAGAGCACCTGGAAGTTGCTGAGTTGGCGATGCTGGTCCCCACCTCTTCCTGGACTCAGGCCATTCGTGTCACCCACGGAGGTGGCACAGAAGAAGGAACTTCTCTGCCCCAATGTCACACCCTAAGCCCTCGAGGACAAGTTTAGGTTTTGATTTCTCTGTTCTGACCGCAGCCCTCCCGGAAGCCTCCTGGACTGACCGTGGGCAAATTAGGTCTGGGGAGGGAGTGGTCACTGGGCAGCAGGGACCAGCAGGGCAGGAGGTGAGAGGACAGGTGTCCACACCCTGAGGAAGGCCCTGGCACAGGACACAGAGCCCCCAGCGGGCAGGCTCCAGGGCGCCCATCCTGAATCTCCCGCAGCAGCCAGCACAGGACATGACCTGGTCCAGGCTCCCTGGGGCTGCTGGGTGGAGGGGCCTGCGGGGTACGAGTGCGGATGGGAGAATCTGGTCTGAGAGGCATGCAGCTGGCCTTCATCCCTGGTCCCGCGAAGGGAAGGGGATCAACACGTGCCGAGCTCTCCTTAGGAGCCAGCCAGGCAAGGGAGCGTTCGTCCCTTTCCCCGTCCACAGAGGAGAAAAGGACAGCTCCCAGAGGGCATGGCCCAGCCAGGACCACACAGGGAGCGCTGGATGCAGGATGTCCACTCGCCTCAGAAAGGGCGCTGCCTGTGCTCCTTTGCCTCCACCTCCAGGCCCTGAGGAGAGGGGGGGAGTTTGTATTCCAGCCCCAGCGTGACCCTGAGCCCTGGCTGGCCGTGCTTGTCCCCGATGGGCTGCCCCTCTGTCCCACCGACTCCCCCATCCTGCCTCCTCTGAGATCACTCTGTCCTGGCCCCGTGCTCCCTCCAGGGGTGGTGCCCATCCAGGGAGAGCTGGGCCGGCCCGCTGAGTCTTGCCCTGGCCGCCCGCCCCGAGACCCAGGCTGCTCAGCCCCAGGCTGGCCTCACATCTTCAGGGTGGAAACCTCAGCTCAGTGTCCCCTCTTTCTCGGGTGGGCGGCCTTCATAGGCAGCTAACAGAATCCATGTCCTGTGAAGACTCCAGGGGACGTCATACGTAGCAATGTTTCGATCTTCCTCCAAAGGTTTTGTCTCGAGTCACATGTCTGAGTCACAGCAAGAAGAGACAGGAGGATGAGGAGAGGCCAACTCAGGCCTGGGTGGGCCCCGCCTCTCTGTACTTCTGTCCTTCGTCCTTCAGGAGCCCCCCGCATCCTCCCGCACACTCCCTCTGGACCCTGACTCCCTGGGGGCAGCAGAGGCCGGGTGACCAATGCTCCCTCTCCCCGTCTCCCTGAGGCTGAGAGAGGACATGGTTCTGTGAAGGCATCAATAGAGCCTAGTGACGAACCTGCGTCCCAAATTGGCGCTCGACTCCACTGATGAGATGAGATAAAAGCATGCAGCTCATCTCAGTCCAGATGAAAAGAAATCCTGTCCTTTCGTGGGGATGACAGTCCCCTACCCAATGTCTGCCTCTGGAACATTGAGTAAAAATGTGAAAATATTCCTGCGTCCTGCTGGAGTTCTCCACCTGAGCACACGAAGGTCTGAGAATGGACTGGAAGGAGGAAGGGTGGTGTAGGCCGGGTCGCCCCTAAGCAGGGGCAGGCTGTGCCTGGATTTGCCTTGTTCCTCTATCAGGAAAACTGGGAACAGGGCAGGGTGCCCTGGTGGAGCCCAGACTGGAGCCAAAGGATCCTCGGGGAGGGACAGTGCCCCCTCAGCAGGCACCCCTGTGGGACCAGAGTGGATGACCCTGTGTCTGCAGTCCAGGCCAGGCTGCTCTGTGTGAGGTCTCAGCTTCACCCCCCTGTAGGCGGTCTTGCCTCCCTAGAGCAGGGATGGCAACAGGCTGCCTGTGCCCAGCCCAGGGTCTCAGCTGTGTTCCAAGGCTGCACCATATCCCCTCTCCAGGACCTCAAAGCCCCAGTGTCGTGGGCAAAGCTCTGAGACCAGGAGCCTGGGGGGATGGGGGTTCCTGGGAGATGGGGTGCTAGAGAGATGGGGGCCTGTGAGATGTGGGCCTTGGGGTGCTGGGGAGATGAGGCACAGGTCTGCGTGGAACCGCCCCTGACAGGACTGAGTGTGGGGTCCCTTCTCCCAATGTAAGACCACCTGTTTTCCACCCAGGTTGCCCCGTTTGCCCAGAGTGATGGCACTTTGTTCAGTTTTGGTCACTTGCTTCCAGGAATGGAGGCAGGGCTGCTGTCAGAGCCCAGAAATTGAAACCAAGAAGCAGATCTGAGGACTAGCTTCTTCCCGCAAACCCCTTAGGAAGTGTCCACATCCTCTGATTTGGGACAGAGCCAAGACAGGCACTGGGGTGTGTCTGGGAACCCCCAGGAGCTTCCTTTTTTTCATGTCCCCGAGTGGGAGTGTGTGTACATGTGCGCTGTGTGTTTGCGTAGGGGAGGGGAGTGGCTGGGCCTATGTGCCCAGGCACAGTGGTGTGCGAGGCCCGTTCATTGTCGTATACGTGGCGTCTGAGATTCCGGGATCATCCCGAGGAGGGAGCCACCTGATGTAGTCCACAGGGGTAACAGCCCAGGGATGGAGGCAAGATGTCCAGCCTCGCCACGGCCCAGGAGGAAAGAGTGTCAGCTGTGATGGGGCACACGCTGGCGTTTCTCGTCCTCTTCCACCACGCATTCTCCCTGCTCAGAATCCTCCTGCTCAGCCCCTGGCTACCAGTGCGTGCCCCTCCTTCTCTTCTCCTGGATTTGCATCCTGACTCTGCCTCATACCAGCGAGGGGACTCTCAGCATAGAATAAACACTGGATAGTTGATTCATATTATTGATATTATTCACTTTACCCATGTACGTCTGCTCTGGAGAGACACAGATACTCAGAGAGAGAAAAACTTCTCGTAGATCCATCCGACATACCTAGTTTCCCTGGCTCCCGGGACAAGTCTGAACCCCTCCCGCCCCTCGGGCCCTCCTGTGCCCATCTCTGAGTCCTCTGAGGAGAGCGTTCGGAGGCTGTTTCTGTTTCTCAGGCTCTGACAACCTGATGTTGTTCCAGAAAGCTGTGGCTGTCACCTGTCACTGAGTTCTGAGCCAGTGAGGGTGTGGGTCCTCAGAGGGTCCCTCTGCCTGGGGATGGGGACTGAGGCCTCGGGTCTGTGAGCCCCTGGATCCATTTCTGCATCCTCTCAGCTCCCTCTGCTGTGTGTACAGTAGGTTCTCAGTGTGTGTGCAAATTCAACAACTTGCAATGACCTTGGGGGATGATATAGGGGTCGGGGTTGGGAAGCAGGGATCTGGCTTCCATCCTGGGCTCCCAGAAGGAGAGGGTAGCAGCTAATCATAACAGTAAAGTGTGCTGGGCATTCACCCTGTGCTGGGCAAATATGAGCTCTCAAGCTCCTTGTTTTTCTTTTACTTGTGGCATCTTCTGCTGCACAAAATTTTCATTTTATAAAGTCAGTGATGCTGTCGGGACGCGGCCCACCGCCCCTGTTGCCCCAGCTCAGCTCTCAGTGCTTGTCTTCTTCTGCTGGTCTCCTCAGGGCCCCGGATGGCTGCCCATCTCCAGACATCGTATCTCATTCCAGGGGGTAAGAAAGAGGACAGGGCAAACCTTAGATCTTAGAGTCTGTTCAAGCTTCTGATGGATACTCATGGTTAGCTACTGTGGGGGTGGCTGACGAGAAGCCCACTAATTTGGAGTTTCTATTGCTGGTTTCATTTCGAGGCCCAATTTGTCCTCCTCTCCCTCTGTGGCCCTCCTGCCCACCTGCCCCTCCCTCTGGGTGTCCCCCCGGCCCTCTCCAGGCCCTTCTCTCTGGGGTCCGGTCCTGCTCCACCATACCCCTCACCTCTCTGCTGGTGCTCCTCACCTGTGGCCCTGTCCCAACCGCTTGACCCCATCTCCTGGGCGCACCCTGCTTCCCCTGGTCCCTCCTCCCACTCCTCCTGCCTCCCCAGTGTTGAGCAGCTGCATTAGTCTTTCCTGTGAAAAGTCTTTATGGGGATGCGTTAGAGCCAGAAAGATGTGGCCCCTAGTCTGGGCCC